GCGACATAGAATTTCTGAAATACTGAGAAGACTAACGCTATACTGGATAGGAAAGCATAGAGGTCGAAGGATTTTATTCGTAGTTTATACGATGACCTGCAGAAATAATTTCAAGCCATAAAATAAAGAATTTTGTTAGATTGCTAAACTGAAAAGATACAGGGAAGATTCTATTTAAATCTTAGTCCTAAGGACGCAGAATGTCTCTTTCAAGATGCTTTTGAACGTGGTTTACGAATCGTATTGATTACATGATTTTAAGGTTTTTGCTAAATTATGGAAAGCGCTTTCCAAGAAGGTTCCTCAGAGGACTCTAGCAAGATCATATGCACGTTTACATGCGTGCAAAGCTGAGGAAGTGTGAGAAGATTTCACATGAATCTTTGAAGATAGAGGCTTTCTACTCAGGACTAGGAATACCTTGAAGTTTCTGAGAATAGGATAAGGAGTTAACATTGTTGCAACTGCTAAAATGTCTAATGGTAATAATATGCTATCGATCGATTGGAAGACATAGAGATTTGAGCATTTTATTCATAATCTATAATGCAGAATCTTGCCAATAAATATCAGAAACGGTATTGGCAGGATTAAATTGTTAAAGGATTTGCGTTTAGGTAATAATACCAGAGATGGGATCAGTTGACATTTTTTCTGAATCGAATCGAACGTAACTGATCGAGTTTTAAAAAATTTCCAACCGAACCGAACCGGATTTAGCGAAAGCGAAGTTTATTATGCTAATTGCAGTAGTAGTACTTTATAAACGAAGATTCTTTTATATAATAACAACAACGAATAATGAATATTTAGTACGCAAACAGAACAGAAAAAAGATGTGCATTTACATGGGTCAATTTCAAATGCGCTGTGTGCAACACGTTTTAAAAAAATTAATTAGGCCGAACTTTTGATCTGTGCTAGTTGATACAGATAATTCTTCTCTATCAAAATGTGTTGTTAGTTTTTTCCAAAAATATCTATATCAAGAAATAATCGATAGAAGCTGACCAATCAAAACACAATAACGCTTATGATTTGATAATGAATCGATGATTCATCCCTATTTGATGGTAGACTAATTTAGAGAAAACAAACAATGAAGATTGTTCATTGAATCATCACACTGCATTGTAATTTCCTTACCTCTTAAAATCGATCAAAAAAATGTCAAATAATATCTGAGTTACGAGCGACATCTAATCGTTGTACAATCACGGTCTTTTTTTTCTTTTCAGATCTCACTGAAAAAATCGATTGAACTCAAATTAAAAAATTATATCGATTCATTCCAACTGAACCGAACGTCACCGACCGATTTTTTAAAAATTTCTAGCCGAACTGATCTCATCTCTAACTGGCACGTCTGAAAACCGATTTAAGTGGAGTAAAAAGAAAACAACGAATGCCTGCCAGTTCAAAACATGTCAAGGGCTTCAAATCACTTGAAATTTGCAAAAATTTCATTTGTCAACCGTGATTTTCATACACAATCCAGGTTTGCCGCCATATTTTTGTAGTCGAACTAGCTTCAGTTCTCTATTTTCCGGTCCTCAATGCATCCTATGTTTGTGCTATTCATATTAAATCTCAAATAACATGAATATATTAATGTTTTTAACTTCAATATTTTTCCCATTTTAAATGAATCACTACTAAAGATCCTTTAGAGAGAACGAGCCAATGTTTTTCTGCATACATCGAGTAACCTTAATTGATTTAAATCTAATTGGTGACATAAATAAATGGGCACAAAACAATCAAAATATTCCCTGGACCTATTATAGCAGTTTTCTTACATGATCAACTAATTCGTTTTTGCTTAATCATATATTACTCGACAATGATATGTTTACTCTTTATCGAAAACTGAAAAGAAGCTCCCTACAATCTGGATAGCCAAAACTATGAATGAAATGCCTCCGAAACAACGCCTGATCGAATTGGGATACCTGACTTCAAAATTATCTGAATTCAGGTAGAGATGAGAATGAATTTCATTTCATAGCTGTCAACAAAACGAGTTAAGCTTCGATAATGATGAAAAATAGTCAACATGGAGATTGCATGCTGTTACTTGATTTTTTTCTTATGATTAAAATTAAATCACTCATAATATAAGATCGTTGATCTTATCAATTTACCTTCAGCTAGCTACAGAGTAATATTGCATACAAAGGAACTATATATACTTGAGTCAAAATTAGCATTTTCCAAAATCAAGAAGCGTCAATATAATGCTCATCTAGTTACTGAGTACTGGTTATGGTGGTCACTGTGGTTAGAATTGTAATTACGGTTGTAGTGTGCATTGTCATTCATAATCAAAGAACATTGGTGTAAACAAAGCAGATAGTTTTAGATCTAACATAGAATATAATATAGAACTGGGTGCGCTTAAGTTTCAGGTGAAGCCTAAGAAGTGTTTCACAGTAGAGCGACGATCTCAAATGGTCTAAAAAGGGACTTTTTCTTTCAGAACTTATTTTTAACGGAAAACGTCTGTGTTCATCAGAGACCGAAAGCTTAGTAAAATTTTCGACAATTCGATTCGATGTTATTCAGTTGAATCAGATCAAATCAAATTGAATTGAACCGAACCCACCAAGACCGTCCTGGTCACATTCATCATTTCTATTGTATTTCGAATACGAGCAAAGATTAAAATGCACTAGCTACCATTGCAGTACAAAATTGTTATTCGAAGTATAAAGCTTGTAATTTCAACCTCTCACATAAATTGCTCATTTGCCAGTGTGTTTGTCTTAGGCCATTAGAATAGTCTGCCGTCGTATCAACAATGTAAGTGAAATGAATTTAAAGAGATATTCGAAAGAACAGAATAAGAATGTACAGATAAATTGTTACGAACTCTCTCTCATCTCTTTTGCTGACAGACTACCAACGACAAAATTAACCGTACACTTGGTTTTTGCTCTAAAATATAAAGTTTGTAGTTAGAAGAAATTTTCTTTGGTATATATGAATAGTACAAGTATAGATATTTATAACAGAAATAAAAATCTAGTTAATGGTCGGTTTGTTGTATATTTACTTTTGTATATTTTGTGTTTGCTCCATATTTTTTTGCTCGATGATTTCATCGAAAATGTATAGACTAACTGAAGAACAACGCTAGTATATCATCTGTGAGTGGAAAAAAGGTTCTATAAATATCTCAAAAATAGTACGTTCCTTCAAGTGTCGCCGTGCTACAATATACGATGTCATTGATTATTATGGTCGCCATAATGATGTAAATTATACAGATAGATATAATGCTGGTCATCCACCTGCACTCGATTCAGCACAAATTAAACAACTTGATCAAACTATACAACAAAACCGATCAGCTACTGCTGCTGAATTATTATCACTCAGGAACTTCAATACTACCGAACGCACGATACAACGTTATCGTTTATCCCTTGGTTATCGTCCTTGTAATTCTGTTATTAAAATTAAGACTAACAATACAAATGAACAAAATCGATATCAATTTGCTGCATTACATCACTTGGCCAACATCAGGAAATATATTTTTGAAGATGAATGCTATGTGGGATTAAGAAGTACACAACAGATTGTTTGGTGTAAACGAGGAGAATCAACACCGAAGAAAGAAATATCATCTTTGCGAGCTCATGTAAATTTAATTGGTTTTATTTGGTGGAATGATTATGTCTTTCGCCGATTTGATAATTGGTTAAATAGTGACACATATTGTGATACAGTTAATGAAGCATTATCGGGAAATTTGCGAAAATTAAATGGATTTTTATTTATTTCTGATGGAGTAAAATGGCACAGAAGTGCTCAATTCAAACGAGGGTGTGACAAATATAATATTGAATTATGTGAATGGCCAGGTTATAGTCCTGACTTTAATGCTATAGAACTGGTCTGGAACATTATCAAACAAAAGGTTAAAAACCAAAAATCTAAAATCACAATGTGAACTAGAGAATGCGATTGATGAAGCTTTAGATGGTTTATCATTAAATGTTATTCAAGCATGTATTAAAAAGACTCAGAAAATATATCAACACTTTGTATCTTCATAATAGTTTTTTACTTGTATTATGAACATCTATACTTGTACTATTCATATATATCCAAGAAAATTTCTTCTAATTACAAACTTTATATTTTAGAGCAAAAACCAAGTGTACGGTTAATTTTGTCGTTGTTAGAGAGTTTGAATTTTTAAATTTTTCTCTCAAGAAGAATTCTCCAAACTTCGACACATTGAGAAATAGTTTTCAAAAGAAGTAGCCGTTTCAAAGGTGGCTCGGGAAGATAGATTCTGCGCTTATTAATATCTTACTGAGACAGCTAAGTCAGTGGTGCTACACACTGAAAAAACAATTGATATATACAGTTAAGTTACTAATCATTAGTAACCTATTTATCCCATTCAATTACTAAAGCTCTTTTGAGCTCTAGCGGTTACTGTGTCGCAGCTAAATGATCAGACTTCACTGTCGCAATTTTAGTCATTAGAAAGATGACAGAGAGATGGCTATAAATGCATTTTCTTTTGTGCTAGTTGTCAATTACAGTTATTTTGAAGAAAGACTACTGAGTGAACTCATTATTCACAAGCATCAGTCGCGTATGCTACGAAAGCTGCGAATAAAGAGAAGCGTGGCAAAACAGAATTGATGTGCTCTTATGGAGATTCAAACGCATGACACATTCTACAGAATGGAACCGATTCAAATGATCAATTGTTCAATTTTTTTCAGCCTTTAATTGTACATTCAAAAGTTCACTGGATCTTCATGTATTGCTAGATATACTTATAGAGGACTCTCTTTTTCAAATTAATGGATATAGTCCATTAGAAGAGATAAAACCTTTTCTCCCTGTCATGCTTTATCTACTTTTTTCAAAGGTTCTTCAATTCTTCCCCACCGTCCTCCGCCAACATGAATTACATATGTGAGGGTAAGTGAACGATGAAAAAATAGCTTTAAGAAAGATTTAAGTTTCACTTAAATCTGTAAATCACTACTTGTTCTCTTACTTGTTGTCGGTGGACAAATTTGTTGATCGATCATCGACACAGGATAACAAACAGGATGATTATGACATCGAGGATGATGAATACATATATGATCAGATTCATGACAACGGTTGGTTGTGCGTTCACATGCACGAAATTCAGAACAAGTCACCCATTGAAACCCACAAATACCAGTGTTATTGGCACCTGCCATATGGAAACAGGCACATGCACTATTTGACGAACATTGATCATATTCAGGTGTCCCATGGCATATTTGAGATTGGACTCGAACTACCGGCATACAAAATTAATAGAAAGAGATGGAAAACAAAACAAGAATCAAACCTGCAAGGCTTAAAAAGAAGATTGTTCAATATTAGATGAGTAGGAAAAACTAGGTTTTTGAACTACCTGAATAAAACGAATATGAAGCAACGAATTACTGTTGAAACCATCGCTTGCATTGTAATGAGATAGAATAAAGGCAGCAATCATCTTTATATACCATGAAGAGGCAGCATTTTTCGCACTCGCCAAAGATAAAGAAGTGCATGGTGCCATTTTTCAATAAATAGAAATTCGATATTCCTCCATTACTTTCTTAAGCACTTAATTTATCTTCGGAACAGTAATCTTTATAGAAGAAAAAATCGTTGTAAAAGCAATATGAGATTGCTTCTACGATATAAGCATTTAATGGGCTCGTGCCATTATATGAAACATGAGTATTGTTATTGTCAATCATCGACTCACTACGTGATGACGACTTTGAATAACTTCAAGGACGAATTTGGCCATATAATCCGCTTTATGATTTCTCTGGGAAACGATGATAAAAAAATAACATGCAATTTCTCAGAGAAACTAAAAGTACGGCTAAATCTAAAAAAAACATACTTCAATTACATAAGTTATTTCTCTACTTCCTTTTTATACGTCTAAATCCGCACGATTTCATCTATACGTCCAAATCTGTACGGCTTAATCTGTACGGCTTAATCTTGTACGGCTAAATGTGTACGGCTTAATCTAGTACGGCTAAATGGGCGGGTGTTGGTGTGGATGTGGGTGTGGGTGGGTGTGGGTGGGTGTGGGTGGGGTGTGGGTGTGGGTATGCGTATTCTCTTCACAGAGAGTGGCAGATCAACACACCCACACCCACACCCACCCACACCCACACCCCGGATGAAGACATACTGTTAATATCGAGTTTTATGGTAGATAGATAAATGTCAAGGTTAATGCATAGAGTTTTGATCAAAATTCATAACATAATACCTCAACAATCATTAATATTAGATCTGTTTTGTATAAAAAACAAATAAAAAATTTGAAAAACATGTTGTATTTTATGTACAAGATGTAAAAACAAGTTGTATTATTAAAAGATTGTTTGACAATTCAAATAAATGGAATTAATGAAATGTTGATTGTGACTATCTACTACTATCGTTTGAATATTCTTAATGAAAATGCCTATTTAACATGCACTATTACGGTCTCCATCAAATAATAATAATATTATCTAAAATATAAAATATTTCATTCAAATACGCGTTAATATATAGTTTTTTTATTATTTAAATAAATATTGAATTTTGACGAAGAGATATTTAACTATGAAACTGACAAAAACATGTCTAATTTTTCTGATAAATAGTAATTCAATCTTATATAAAACTGTACTCTATATTTGCTTTTACTAATCTTCTTAAAAACAAAAAAGTAATTCAATTACCAGAGATCTAAACAAAACAAAGCTATTTTAATCTATCTTCTTATTAAAAATAACTGCACATATTATGGAAAATCTAAATTTAATGCAATTTACAAAGATTTTAATTTTATTAATAAAAAGTTCGTATTAAAGTTCAATTGTTTCTTTTAATAATGATGTTGTAGATGATGGAATTTTAATATTTTGTTATTCATGATTATTAGATTGACATGATGAATCATATTATTTAATAATATTTATTTTTGAACAAGGATAGATGATGAATGATTAGGTGACGATGATGTTGTTTAACAATTTAATGGTAAAATATTTTGTAAATGTTCATTATGAATTTGA